CACCATCACCCCAACCATCACTGTCACCACTGCCACTACCATCACTGCCACCACACACTACCATCCCACCATCACCACCACCACCATCACAACTACCACCATCACCACCACCACCATCACAACTACCACCATCACCACCACCGCCACTGCCACCACCACCATCACCCCCATCACCACCACTGTCACCCCCACCATCACCACCAGCCTAAAGACTATTCCTCACTATGATCCAAAGGATAAATGTTGTCATTATTATTATTATTACAGAGACAATTATGTAGAACCCGACTGCCGATTACAGATAGATTCATTAGACACAGAGGTGAAAACAAGAGTATACTGCTAAACCAAAATTCCGCTGCCATTTCCCCCGGCTCTTTGCCTCGGAGCCCAAGAGATCAAGTAACACTTACTTTGCGCATTAGGGTTTCTCAGGAACTGCCTTTGATTTTTTCTTTGGGTCCTGCTGTTTCGGTAATCAGTGTCTCCACAGTTGCAGTCTTTGTCTTTACCACCGTATCCCCGGGAGTGTATGCTGCGGGTCCTTTTTCTGATGGCAAGTATGTCGCTGGATGCCTTACACTTGTGAATTCGAAGTTTGCCGGAAGCATCCTCTGTGCACTGCCACTTCTGTGAGAGAGAGAAATGAAGATGATTTCCCAGCAGCCTTCCAAACCCCTGCTACTTTCAGGTGGATTGTAAAACAAGGCAGGCAAATGTCTTTAAAAATTAAGCAGTCCCTTAAATAACAAACTGAGAAGGGAAATATTTTAAGTTAATTAACTCACGTTCTTCTCAACAGCGCTCTCATGCTAGGCAAACATAAGCTTGAATGAAATCACTGCGAATCTGCATTAAAAAATACAACCCAGCCAAAAAAGATAGGTAAATCAAGAGTATCCAGACTAAACACATCCCTGGAAGGAGCAAGTAAAAAGTCTTAATTTACTGAGCCACAGCGTACAGCTGTCAGGACTGTTTTCACCAACTTTTTTTTTCTTTGAGAAAACAAACTTTGTTTCTTTGTTCTGTCACTTGGAATTTCTAACATGATTCGGGTAAAATAAAAAAATCCCTATGGATGAAGGACTGGTTTAGTTGTAGGTTTTTTCGGAAAGAGAAGGACAAATTGTAGATGTGATTTATAGAAAAATACATAAACCACTAACGACATGTAATTTATTTTCTTATTGGTGGCCAAAGTTAGGACCTGCACCTAAGACATGTCCCTGCAAATCATGCCACTCAGACCTGAAAACACTGCTGGCTCTTTATATTTTATGTGAGAAGGGAGAAGCCTGAAAGCGTGATACCTGCAGTCACCTTCCCTAAACCCAGCAGATGCAAGCAGTGGAGAGTAAACACAAAATCTAAGAATCAGATTGGATAAACTCCTTTGGATACCTAAGTCTTGAGATTTGGTGCAGTCTGGAAGGAGTACCTGTAAAAAACACTGTACACATGCTGAATAACAGAGTAAGTGCAGGGGAATGAGAGGAAACAGAACTTTTTCCTGCTTGTCTGTACAATATCAGTCTGACTTGATTATCCATGTCACTGAACCAGATGGAAGATTACAGTTGGACTTTTTCATTGGATTTTTTCAGTGGATCCCACTGTCTTCACATTTCAAATTCAAAATTAACCGGGACTTTAATTTCCTTTCCACTCTGAACTGTCTTGAAAAATCTAAATGTCATTTTTTTTACAAACATGGGTACGTGCTGACAGATCAGAGCTCCCTTTGCCCAGGTCCAAAGCTTGCCATATAGGGCTGCTGGGTTATAGCTGGCACTATGAACACCCTACACAAGCTAAGAAGCCTGTCAAGATTATAAGTCAGTTGTTGTCTGAATAACAATAGGGAGAACTAAAAATAGCTATGTTTATTTATAATTTTAATACATCTGTAAGTGACTATTACCCAGTGAGTTCTGTTAATTTGTGCATCTTAAGCCATAATGACCAGGGTTTGCATACAAGCCAACTAATTTTGGCTGGATAGTGGTAGAGAACAAAACTCAATAATACTACTGATAACTGGAACTTTTTAGTCACAGTTTCAGATAACTTTCCCTATAATGTGTCCATTTTTGGTTCCCATGACTGAATAGTATGTCTTTCTCTTGCCTCATTAATAATAGCAACACAGCCAGATGCTGGTCTTAATGGAGTCCCCAACTTAATTTTTGAAATGGACGCAAATATCAGAGCATATTTTGGTGGGTTGACCCTGGCTGGAGGACAAGTGCCCACCAAAGGTGCTCTATCACTGCCCTCCTCAGTTGGACAGGGAAGCGCCATGACTGAATAGTATGTCTTTCTCTTGCCTCATTAATAATAGCAACACAGCCAGATGCTGGTCTTAATGGAGTCCCCAACTTAATTTTTGAAATGGACGCAAATATCAGAGCATATTTTGGTGGGTTGACCCTGGCTGGAGGACAAGTGCCCACCAAAGGTGCTCTATCACTGCCCTCCTCAGCTGGACAGGGAAGCGAAAAGCTCGTGAGTCGAGATAAGGACAGGGAGAGATCACTCACCAGTTACTCACAAGCAAAACAGACTCAACTTGGGGAAAAAATTAGTTTAATTTATCATCAATCAAATTTAGAGTAAAAAGGCAACTAAACCTCTACTCCAACTCTCCCTTTTCTTGGGCTCAGCCTTGCTCCCAATTTCTTCTCTACCTCCTCTCCCCAGCAGCGCAGGAGAATAGGGTTGCAGTCAGTTCATCTGTTGCTCCTTCCTCCTCAGAGGGAGGACTTCTCACACTCTGCCCCTGCTCCAGTTTGGTGTCCCTCCCGTGGGAGACAGACCTCCATAAACTGCTCCAATGTGAGTCCTTCCCAGGGGCTGCAGTTCTTTGCAAACTGCTCCAGCGTGGGTCCCTCCCATGGGGTGCCATCCTTCAGCAGCCTGCTCCAGCCTGGGGCCCCCGGGGGACCCACAACCCCTGCCAGCAAACCTGCTCCATCCTGGGCTCCTTTCTCCATGGGGCCACAGCTTCTGCCAGGAGCTTCAGCGTGGCTTCCCACAGGATCACAGCCTCCTTCAGGCATCCCCCTGCTTGGGCGTGGGGTCCTCCCTGGGCTGCAGGTGGGTCTCTGCTCCCCCCTGACCCTCCACAGCTGCAGAGGCACAGCCGACCTCACCATGGTCTGTACCACGGGCTGCCGGGGAATCTCTGCTCCGGTGCCTGCAGCACCTACTGCCCCTCCTTCTCCACTGACCGTGGGCTCTTGCTCTCACTTATTCTCACTCCTCTCTCTGTCTGCAGTTGCACAGCTTTATCCCTCCCTTCTTAAACATGTTTTCCCAGAGGTGCTACCTCTGGGCTTGGCCTTGGCCAGTACCGG